TATATATATATATATATACATATCATATCTATCATCATCATCATCATCAACAACAAGAACAACAACAACAACAACTTTCTATTTTTAGAATTGCGTGCTTTTATTTATAGAATTGCGTGCTTTTATTTATAGAATTGCGTGTTACTATTTATAGAATCGCGTCTTACTATTTATAGAATCGCGTGTTACTATTTATAGAATTGCGTGTTTCTATTTTTAGAGTTGCGTGTTACTATTTGTAGAATTTGCGTCTTTCAATTTTTAGAAATTGCGTGTTACTATTTATAGAATTGCGTGTTACTATTTAAAGAATTGCGTGTTTCTATTTTTAGAATTGCGTGTTTCTATTTTTAGAATTGCGTGTTTCTATTTTTAGAATGGAGTGTTACTATTTTTAGAATTGCGTGTTACTATTTATAGAATTGCGTGTTACTATTTATAGAAATGCGGGTTACTATTTTTAGAATTGCATGTTTCTATTTATAGAATTGCTTGTGTCTATTTATAGAATTGCGTGTTTCTATTTTTAGAATTGCGTGTTTCAATTTTTAGAATTGCGTGTTACTTTTTATAGAGTTAGGTGTTTCTATTTTTAGAAATTGCATGTTACTATTTATAGAATTGCGTGTTACTATTTTTAGAATTGCGTGTTTCTATTTTTAGAACTGCGTGTTTCTATTTTTAGAATTGCGTGTTTCTTTTTTTAGAATTGCGTGTTACTATTTATAGAATTAGGTGTTTCTATTTTTAGAATTGCATGATACTATTTTTTAGAATTGTGTGTTACTATTTATAGAATTGGATGTTACTATTTATAGAATTGGATGTAACTATTTTTAGAATTGAGTGTTTCTATTTATAGAATTGCATGTTTCTTTTTTTAGAATTGTGTGTTTCTATTTATAGAATTGCGTGTTACTATTTTAAGAATTGCGTGTTTCTATTTATAGAATTGTGTGTTACTATTTTTAGAATTGCGTGTTACTATTTTTAGAATTGCGTGTTTCTATTAATAGAATTGCGTGTTACTATTTTTAGCTCACCTGAGCATATGCTCAGGGTGAGCTATTAGGATCTCTCTCCGTCCGTCGTATGTCTTACGTTGTCCGTTCACACTTTTCAAACGACATCTCCTCTGAAACCATAAGGCAGATCATAATGAAACTTCACAGGGATGTTCCTTGTGTGAAGCCTTAACAAAGTTGTTCAAAGAATTCCATTCCATGCAGAACTCTGGTTGCCATGGCAACCAAAAGAAAAGCCCTGGGGTCAAAATTGGCCCCGCCCCAGGGGGTCATTGATTTTCCCTATATGTATATAGTAAAAACTTAAAACACTTCTTTTAAAGAACCCAAAGAGCTAGAGCTAAGATATTTAGCATGAAACATCTTCTAATGGGTGTCTACCAAGTTTGTTCAAATAAAAGCCCTGGGGTCAAAATTGGTCCCGCCCCGGGGGTGATTGATTTTTCCTATATGCATATAGTATAAACTTAAAAATCTTCTTTTAAAGAACCCAAAGAGCTTGAGCTTAGATATTTGGCATGAAACATCTTCTAATGGATGTCTACCAAGTTTGTACAAATAAGAGCCCTGGGGTCAAAATTGGCCCTGCCCCAGGGGGTCATTGATTTTCCCTATATGAATATAGTAAAAACTTAAAAAATCTTCTTTTAAAGAACCCAAGGAACTAGAGCTAAGATATTTAGCATGAAACATGTTCTAATGTATGTCTACCAAGTTTGTTCAAATAAGAGCCCTGGTGTCAAAATTTGCCCAGCCCCGGGGGACATTGATTTTCCTTATATGTGTATAGCAAAAGCTTAAAAATCTTCTTCGAAAAAACCCGAATAGCTAGAGTTTAGATTTTAAGCATGAAACATCTTCTAGTAAGTGTCTACAAAGATTGTTCAAATAAAAGCCCTGGGGTCAAAACTGGCCCTGCCCAAGGGGTGTCATTGTTTTTAAATATATGTGCAAAGAAAAAACTTAAAAAATCTTCTTTTAAAAAACCCAACGAGCTAGACCTTAGATGTTTAGCATGAAACATCTTCTAATGGGTGTCTACCAAGTTTGTTCAACCAAAAGCCCTGGGGTTTAAACTGGCCCCGCTCCGGGGGGCCTGTATACAGGTGAGCGACTTCAGGGCCATCATGGCCCTCTTGTTTTTCATAATTATGCTTTTTCGGCTTAGAGAATTCTTTGTAAAGGTTTTGCTTGTAAGCTGGTATCTCCATAACTACTGAAGGGTTTGTGCCTTTTTTGGGACAACTGTATTCTTAATAATAAAGCAGTGATTTACTCGATAAAACATCTGAATAACAAGCCTTTGTACCTTTTCGGACATTTTTATGTATTCATATAGGTAAGCATTATTATACTCGATGAAACACCCTTGTGACAACTTTTCGAATAGTCGAGCGTTACTGTTCTCCGATAGTTCTTGTTGTTTTTCTCTTTTTTCTATATATAACAATTTTCTTTTCTTCTGAATTTTGATAATATTTTCTTACTATTGTCATTTATTAATGGGAAGGATTCATACTTTGACAAAACTAGTTTGACAAGACAGACCTATTAAGATTATGAAAAGGAACGTTAAGATTTGTTCAAACGTTTCTTTGTTTGCTTTTAGAAAAAGTAAAAAGTTGAGCGTTGCCCCCGCTTGGCAGTGGCTCTTGTTAAGATTCAATTTCTGTCACGTGTAGCCCAAAAAATATTTGACCTAGAGTCATAAGATTGACAAAACAGTGGAGTGTGGCCTGTGTTAATTTTCATACTTTATTTTTGTCTAGGCCAATTCTCCTACACTTTAAAAGCTATTGACTTGAAACTTCATAGGATGATGGATCTCATTGAGAAGGAACTTTTACTCTGCACTTCATAGTTTGATTTTTGAGTTATTGCCCTTTGTTTATTTTCACACTTAATAGGTTTGTCCAGAGCATAACTTAGGATTGACTCCAAATATGGTGTGCTAGCTTTTTTCATTGACCTTAAGTGCAGTGCACAAAAGTCCATCCATGAGTCCTCCATTTGATCTGTCAGTGTAAAACTTCTGTGGAATATTTATTTTTGATAATATAACAGTTTTATTAATCCTGACGTAACATTGTTACAATCAGTTCAAATGCCACTAAAGTTAAAAATACATAAACATTGCAAGAGCAGTGTTTATAAATAACCTATATTTTAGAAGAAAATGACTAACTGATACTGTTGACAAGGTGACACAGCGACTCCCGGAGTTCTAGTTTTATATTTGAATATATTTTTATGCTCCCCGAAAAATTTAGGGGTAGCATATAGTCGCCGCCTTGTCCGTCCGTCCGTCATTTCGTCCGTCCGTCATTTCGTCCGTCCGTCCGCTTTTCTTGTCCGGGACATAACTTTGAAACAACAAGAGGTATCAACATGAAGCTTTGTAGGTAGATAGGGATCATTGAGTAGATGTGCAGTGTACAAGAACCGTAACTCTGCCTTGCCTAATTTCAGAATTATCCCCCTTTGTTTATTTTACACTTTGAACTTTGTGTGTGTGTGTTGGGTTTATTTACCCTTGCCACCGGTATAAAACCATATGGGCGAGCATATGCTTCATTTATAACAGGGAGAAAACTTTATTTAGTTAATATCTGCATATGTGACTAGGGAGTACAATATTTCCTGCCCCAAAAATGCAAAATAATTACATTAGTTGGGGCCGGAAGAAGGTGGGATTATATCCCACACTAAGATTAAAAAGCTGTATTTAAAATTTAAACTTAAATTAAAAAGGGGGGAAGACGCTTCTATATAGGGAATAAAAAAAAACCTAATAATTATGTTTAATGATAGCTTAATTTGTTGCAAATCGTATTTATAATGTTAAAACAAATATTAAAGGGGGGGGGGGGGGGAGACGCTTATACGCGTACACCTTCATAACTATAAGTGGTACCAACATGAAACTTTGTAGGTAGATAGATCTCATTGAGTAGGTGTGCAGTGCAAAAGAACCGTAACTCTGCCTTGCCTAATTTTTGAATAATCCCACTTTGTTTATTTTACACTTTGAACTTTGTCCGGGACATAACTCTAAAACTATGAGAGGTATCGACATGAAACTTTGTAGGTAGATAGATCTCATTGAGTAGGTGTGCAGTGCACAAAAACCGTAACTCTGCGTTGCCTTATTTTTGAATTAACCCCCTTTGTTTATTTTTACTTTTTGAACTTTGTCTGGGACATAACTCTAAAACTATGAGAGGTATCAACATGAAACTTTGTAGGTAGATAGATCTCATTGAGTAGGTGTGCAGTGCAGAAGAACTGTAACTCTGCCGTGCCTAAGTTTTGAATTATTTCCCTTTGTTTATTTCCCACTTTGAACTTTGTCCGGGACATAACTCTAAAACTATAAAGGTATCAACATGAAACTTTGTAGATAGATAGGTTTCATTGGGTATATGTGCAGTGCTAAAGAATCATAACTCTGCCTTGCCTTATTTTGAAGTTATTGCCCTATATTTACTTTTACTTTTTGACTTTTGTCCGGAACTATTAGAGATATCAACATGAAACTTTGTAGGTAGATAGATATCATTGGATAGAACTGCAATGCTTAAAGAACCTAAACAAAGCCCTGTCTAATTTTGGAGTTATTGCCCTTTGTTCATTCTTAAACTTTGAATTTTACCCGGGACATAACTCTGAAACTATAAGAGATATCATCAGGAAACTTTATAGATAGATAGATCTCATTGAATAGAAGTGCAGTGCAAAAAAAAACATAACTCCACCTTGCCTTATTTTGAAGGTTTTGCCATTTGTTCATTGTTTTATACTTTACTGTGTCCAAAAACCTTCTCGGGAGCATCACCTGGTTCAACCTGTTCTTGTTTATAAATCAAACATGGTTAAACATATTAAATCTTTGACATAGATTCAATGTGTTTCAGGAGTTTGAAATGTGAAAACTGCTGTAAGAATTCAGTATAAAATTATTTAAGTATTTTGCAGGTACTGGGAGGCTTTAAAGAAATGGGACGAAGCATTGCAGTATACTCCTTGCGATGAAAAAATTCATGAAATGAAAGCTCAGGTAAATCACAATATACACTTTAGTCTTATACTGTTAATGAGAAAGAATAGGACTACAGTTGCAAATCTTAGATTTAAAAAAGCTTTATCAATGTTTACCCAGCAGAATTTCATAAATCGGAATAGGTTTGTATAAAGTTCCTTTAGGTCACTATAGAAATATAGTGAAAACTATATAGAAAACTTATAAGCCAACCTCTGATCAGGACGAGTTTTCCCTGCATTGGAGATGATTATCATCTAGGATTTGACAATGTAGTTCATCATGTAAAATGAGGTGGAAATTACTAGGTTAGTGATTGTAATGTAAAATTTTGGAGAAGAATTGTGTTATATTTTTCAGGTTCTAATGGAGTTATGTGAAGTATTTCCAGCTGTCCAATCTGCAAAGAAAGCTGTAGAGTATAGTCCAACATGGTGGATTGCTCATCAAACATTGGGTCGGGCTTATCTTGGACTTGGAGAAGTGAAAATGGTTATAATACTGAAAATTCTTTCCCAGTTCATTGTTTGAAAAAGAGTAGGAGAGTGAATTTTGACTGCCTCCGTGGTCGAGTCGATGACTTCTAATCCAGTTACCTCTCTGGCGTGGGTTCGATCCCCGGGAGATGCTTGGGTAGTTTAGCACGGAGGAAGGTAGTTCAGTACTGGTGTAACTCTCCAGGAACGATGGTTAGAAAACTACCCGCCTATATGACTGAAATACTGTTGGGAAAAGGGGTAAAATGAAACAAACAAACAAACAGAGTGAATTTTAACAAATAGTTCTTTGTTCTAATTTGTAGATAGAAAATCTTGTTTTATGGGATTTGTTCAATTGGATTTCTTGTTATGGCCTCCACTATAAGTGTGGGGGGATTTACATTTGCCCATCTTTCTGTGTGCGTGCATGTATGTATGCGTTCTCATGTTGTGTCACATGTAGCTCTAAAAGTGCTTGAGCTAGAGTCATGCAAACATTACAGGAATATTGATTTGCATGTGAAGTTGTGCATCTGGGGTTTCACTTGTGGATTTATTCAGTTTGGTCAGAGTTATTGCCCTTGACTTAGTAAAATTTTCTGTTTCTGTCGCACGTAGCTCATAAAGTATTTGACCTAGAGTCATGAAACTTTACACAAATGTTGGTCAGCATTTGTAGTTGTGCACCTGGGGTTTTGCTTGTTGACTGATTCAGTATTTGTAGAGTAATTGCTCTTGACTTAGTAAAAAATTGAAATCTCAACTTGTGTCACACATATCCCAAAAAGTGTTTGACCTGGAATTATAAAACTTGACCTGGAATTATAAAACTTTACAGAAATGTTGATCAGCATGTGAAGTTATGGACCTGGGGATAAACTTGAGGATTTATTTATTATTTTTAGTAATTGCCTTTGACTAAGTAAAAATTTGCAATTTTAAAATTGTGCCTTGTGTAGGCCAAAAAGAATTTTACCTGTAGTCAGGGAACTTGAGAGAAAAGTTGGTCAGCATGGTTAGTTGTGCCAGTTGGGCTTACTTATGTCAAGCCTGTCCCAAATGGTATTTGACCTAGAGCCATAAAACTTTACAGAAATGTTTGTGAACATATGTAGTTATGCACTCGGGGGTTTGCATGTGGGTTATTCAGTGTTTGTAGAGCCATTGGCCTTTAAGGTATTAGCACCCTAATGCATTACCTCCGCTTTGAAGAGTATTCAAATAGGCTAGAATTACTGTTAACTACATTGAAAATGAAGGCCATGGGTTTAATCCCCAGAAGGGTCAACTTTTTTTTTCTTTCTTTTTTTCTTTTAACATTATTTATGTATCTCTCATGTCCCATATGGAAAGAAAAAAGTGTTTAATTTTTAATTTTTAATTTATATAGGTATTTATTGGCTAAATTATGCTAAATCTAGTAATAAATATGGTACCTGATATTTTCAAAGTGTTATATAATCAAAACTAGACGGTAAATGTATTTCATATTTTACAAGATCAACCAATATACTTTTTTAAAAATTTAGGGAAACTTTGAAAACAGGCACTCATTTTGGGTAAATTTTAAGATTTTTTTGAATTAGGCTCCCTAAGTAGAAAAATGGTCAGACATGTGGTAAAAATGGGTGGGGTAGGGTAACATTTTTATACAGATTTCATAAATTTTAAATAGAAACCATAATTTTGCTTATGTGGATTGTTAGCTGAATGATACTATTTGTTTCTTACCAAAAATTCATGGGAAAACATTTTTCATTAGAATGTTATTGCAGATTATTTAAAGGTTCCTCATTTCTTAAAAAGGGCCCTCATAACATCCTAGCTTGAGTTCAGAAAAGTGGCCATAACTTGATTTCCGTACGGTAAACTTTGTTTAAATTTTGCATACAGGTGTACTTTAAGGTATACATCTGACCTATGATGTCAATTCTTTAGTTCCTGATAGTGCCCTTTAGGGTCCTAATACCTTAAATCATAAAAATTTGCAGTTTTCATCTTGTGTTGCACATATCCCAAAAAGTATTTGACCTTGAATCATTAAACTTTACAGAAATGTTGATCAGCATGTGAAATTGTGCATCTGGGGTTTTGCTTGTTTCTATTTTCTTTTAAGCATATTATAGGATTGAAATTCTTAGTATTGGGAAAATCAAGGGGAGTCTACATATCCATATTGCTACCCTCTTTGCAAAATTTACTAAAATGCTCTTTGCATATACACAGGTCATTCTTTGCCGACATAAACCAATCTAATAAATGTTCATTCTTCTAATAAAAGGTGGTATGTTGAGAGGAAAAGAAGTATACCACGAAACACTAGAATGTTTAAACTATGTCTTTCTAAGGAATAAGTCCATTCTTCAATTACTGCAACTCCACAATAAGTTACACAAAACTGCAATGTTTCGCCACACCCACACTGCCTTGGCATGTTCTGTAGACCAAAATGAACCAATGATTTTGAGGGGTGTAAATTTCAGGAGTCAGTTTCTCAGTCTGGTTCTCCACTTCATGGTTTCTGGACGATACTTAGAACTTGGAATGAGATATTGTTATCAAACATGGTATATAGCAAACTTATGTGGAAACCTTGGTTGGTATTGCTTTTGGAACTGCTTGGGTCACTGTTACGAAAAATACAAAAATGGTTTCCGGACAATAACTAGAGTTAGAAATGAGATACTGTAATCAAACTTGGTATAAAACAAGCTTATAATGAAGACCCCGATTGGGATTGCTTTTGGAATCACTTTGGTCAAGGTCACTGTTACAAAAAAATAGAAAAATGACAATAACTAGAGTTAGGATTGAGGTATTGTAATCAAACTTGTTATATGGCAAGTCTATGTGAAGACCCCCGAAAAAATAGAAAAATGACAATAACTAGAGTTAGGAATGAGATATTGTAATCAAACTTGGTATATGGCAAGTCTATGTGAAGACCCAGGTTGGGATTGCTTTTGGACCCCCTATGGTCAAGGTCACTGTTACTTAAGATAGAAAAAAGGTTTCCGGACAATAACTTGAGTTTGGAATGAGATATTGTGATCAAACTTTGTATAAAACAAGCTTATATGAAGACCCCGATTGTGATTGCTTTTGGAATCTGGTCAAGGTCACTGTTACGAAAAAAATAGAAAAATGGTTTCCTGACCAAACTTTGTAATTGCAAGCATATTTGAAGGGTTTGGATTGCTTTTGGACCCACTGGGTCAAGGTTACTGTTACTAAAAATAGAAAAATGGTTTGTGGGCAATAACAAGAATAAGGAAAGAGATATTGTAATCAAACTTTGTATATAGCAACCTTATGTGGAAATGCCGGTTGGAATTGTTGTTGAACCCTCTTGGGTCGCGATCACTGTTACTAAAAGTAGAAAAATGTTTTACAGACAATATAAGAGTTAGGAATGAGTTAATGTAATTAAACTTAGTATTAAGCAAGGATATATGAAGACCCAATTAGGGATTGCTTTTGGACCTCCTTGTATCAAGGTCACTGTTCCAATTTGATTTCGGGTTCACTATGATTTCGGGGTCACTAGATCAAAGATCAAGGTCATAGGGGCCTTTAATGTCAGAATGGTTTCTGCTCATTATCTTGAAAACTATTTTTCACAAATACTTCATATTTCACATATTGATTAGTCATATGTTGGTAAACAATGTGGTTTCTGCTGATTATCTTAAAAGCTTTTTATTACAAAGTCTTCATGTTTCACATACTGATTGGTCATAGTTAATAGATAACCCCTATTGATTTTGGGGTCACTAGGTCAAAGGTTATGGTCACAGGGGCATTAAATGTCAAAATGGTTTCTGCTCATTATACTAATGATAGTTTTCATTCAGTTTCAGGTCATATATTGGTCATTATTTTAAGCTCGACTATACGAAGTATTTAAAGAGCTGTCCTACTCGCCCCGGTGTCAGCGTTAAAGTTTTGGTGCAGTAAAATATTTTTCACTATAACTTTTTCATGTCTTAAGGTATCAACTTCAAACTTCAAATATATGTTCCTTATCATCAACCACATCTTATTTGACAAGGTTCATAACTCTAGCACAAATATTTTCAGATTTATCTCCCCTTGAACATAGAATTTTCCTTAAAAAATATTATTTTTAGCTCACCTGAGCACAACGTGTTCATGTTGAGCTATTGTGATCCCCAACCGTCCGTCGTCAACAATTTCTTTAAACAACATCTCCTCAAAAACCAATGACTGCACAGTAACCAAACTTTACAGGAATGGTCCTTGGGTGGCCCCCTGCCAAAATTGTTCAAATGGTTCCGGTCTGTTGCATAAGTAGGTCACAGGGCTAGAAAAGGAGTTTAAAAAATGCAAACTTAAAAACTCTTCTTGTCTGAAAGTACAAGGCTTAGAGCTTTGATATTTGGTATATGATATCACCTAAAGGTCCTCTACCAAAGTTGTTCAAATTATAGCCCGTGTCAAAATTTCTTTATATGTATATAATAAAAAAATAAAAAAACTTTCTTCTCTGAACTGACAAAGGCTAGAGGTTAGATATTTGGCATGAAGCATTGTGTAGTGAACTTCTACCAAGATTGTTCAAATTGTAGCCCTAGGGTCAAAATTGGCCCTGCCCTGGGGGTCATAGGTTTTCCTTATACATTGTATGTATATGGTAAAAACTTTTAAAAAATCCTCCTGTCTGAAGGTACAAGGCTTAGAGCTTTGATATTTGGTGTGTAATATAACATATAGGTCCTCAACCAAAGTTGTTCAAATTATAGCCCTGGGGTCAAAATCGACCCCACTCCAGGGGGTCATAGGTTTTCCTTATATGTATATAGTAAAAACTTTAAAAATCTCCTTGTTTTAAGGTACAAGGCTTAGAGCTTAGATATTTGGTATATAATATCATCTATAGGTCCCCTACCAAAGTTGTTCAAATTATAGCCCTGGAGTCAAAATTGGCCCCGCCTCGGGGGTCATAGGTTTTCCTTATATGTATATAGTAAAAACTTTTTAAAAAAACTTCTCCTCTGAATTGGGCTTAGAGATTAGATATTTGGCATGAAGCATTGTGTAGTGGAACTCTACTAAGATTGTTCAAATTGTAACCCTAGGGCCTATTTAAAGTTCTTGGTGTATTGTCTGAAAACATCAACTTACACAAAAACATTAACCCTGTTTTGTATATTTTTAAGACCAGGTAACTTCACTTTTGTATATCAATTGCATTGGTACTCAGGTATTGGGGGCCAATGGCCCCCTTGTTTCTGTTACTTATTTATTTCTTAAGGGATCAACTTCATACTTCAAATATATGTGACAATGTTCATAACTGTAGCACCAATATTTTCCGATTTATCTACCCTTGAACTTAAAATTTTCCCTAAAAAATACTATTTTTACTGTTACTTCTTTATTTCTGAAGGGTCAACTTTATACTTCAAATATATGTTCCTTATCATGAACCACATCTTATATGACAAGGTTCATAACTACTCTAGCACCAATATTTTTAGATTAATCTTCCCTTGAGAATAGAATTTTCCTTAAAAAATATTATTTTTATGCTACCGCAGAATCTGCGATGCGGTGGCATATAGCGATTCACCTGTGTGTGTGCGTGTGTGTGTGTGTTCTATAGATTATATAGTGGACTTAAAAAATCTTCTAGCCCAATTTAAACCAAACTTGACAGGATTGATACTTGGGTGTTAAGGGCTTCCAAAGTTGTTCAAAGAATTTCATTCCATGCAGAAATCTGGTTGCCATTGCAACCAAAAGGAATTATAAGAATAAATTAAAAAAATCTTCTTGTAAAGACCCACAAGACCTAGAGCATAGATATTTTGCATAAGGCATTGTCTGGTAGACCTCTACCAAGATTGTTCAAATTATAGCCCTGGAGTGAAAATTGGCCCTTCCCCGGGGGTCATTGATTTTCACTATATGTTCATATAGTAAAACTTGAAATACCTTCTTGTCAGAAGGAACAAGGCTTAGAGATTTGATATTTGGTATATGATATCATCTATAGGTACTCTACAAAAGTTGTTCAAATTTTGCCTCTAGTATCAAATAAGCCCCGCCCCCCGGGGGTCATAGGCTTTCCTTATATGTATATACTAGTAGTTAAAACTTAAAAAAAATATCTTCTCGAAATTGACAAATGGTTTAGGTTAGATATTTTTCATAAATCATTGTGGAGTGAACCTCTAGCAAAATTGTTCAAATTATAGCCCTTGGGTCCAAATTGGCCCCATACTTGTTTCTCCAACATAAATATAACATTCGCAACCTGAGGCGGAAGTTACGGCTGCAGCAATGTGTTAGGGTATCGACATATATGTCAATGTGGTATGTTGTCTACAAGGTACTTGGCTTAAGTTTCCTATGCAGGAAGGTGATTCATCAGGAGGTAGTTATTTATGGTTAAGACATATGAGTGCAAATCTACGAATGTGTTGTATGCAGTTTATTGTAAGCGTTGCAAACGTTATATTTATGTTGGAGAAACAGGGGATACGTTGTAACAAAGACACCTTCTAAATTTATCCAGAGTACGAACCAAGTACAACGATCCGGATCGTTAGCGGCGCATTTTTACACGAACGACTACACAGTTAATGATTTTTCAATAATGGGGCTGGAAAAGCTATACGGGAATGACCAATACCGAAAAACAATAGAAAATGTGTGGAAAAATAAATTGATAACCTTTAGACCATATGGAGTTAATACCAAAGAATAACGCGGCAGACGGCAAGCAACGCCATGGCGGGCGTCGTTCATTGACGTAACGTCACTTCCATTGTTTTGTTTTGATATACAATGTATTTGTATGTAAAATAAATGCTGCTGAAGAAGGCCGCAAGGCCGAAAGCTACGGCAAATTTAAATTAGCGTTTTTGCTCATATACGGCAAGTTAGAGATATTACTTAGATATATATATATATAGGTTTGTGAAAAATATTTGCATCTACAAAATACCTTTCAAAAACACTGGATCCCAAGAAGGATACAAGAACGGGGAAAAAATAACAATAAATTTGGAGAAAATAAACGTTCATACAGTGCTAAAGTATAAATACCCAAGTACTTTCGGCGTATTATGCCTTCATCAGGGGTGTATTACATGTATAATGTGCACACAAAAGAGCACAAAATCTCAATACGTGTGTACTGTATAGTATCAAAAATTGTAATATATATATATATATATATATATATATATATATATATATATATATATATATGCTAATATGCTAGTGTCACAATCGGCCCAAGGGGAGGGGGGGGGGGAGGGGAGTGGCACAGGTTTTCCTTAATTTGTATATAGTTAAAAAATGTATATTGTAAAAAACTTGAAAAATCTTTTTCTCTGAACTGACAAAGGCTAGAGGTTGGATTTGGCATGAAACATTGTGTAGTCGACCTCTACCAAGGTTGCTCAAATTATAGCCCTGTTGTCAAAAATGGCCCCGCCCTGGGGATACAAGGTACAAGTCTTAGAGCTTCGATACTAGGTATATAATATCATCTATAGGTCCTCTACAAAAGTTGTTCAAATTTTAACCCTTGTATCAAAATTGGCCTGTCCCAGGGAGGAGACATTAATTTTCATTATGTACTAAATGTAAAACCTTAAAAATTCTTCTTTTCTAAAGATGTTCAAAGTTTGCTCCCAGTGTCAAAATTGGTCCTTGCACAAATAAAAGTTTGTCTTCAGGTGAGCGCGTTGGGGCCTATGGCTTCCTTGTTAACTGAATGGATTGACTTCAGAAATTTCAAGTCGTTTCTTTTCCATCAGAGCAAAGAAATTTCTGTTTCATTTTCATTGACATTGTCAAATGCATAGTATGTAGTAAAAAATTTGGCGGCTTTGATACTATTACAGATATATATATATATATATAGTTATGTCATAATTTTTTCCATAGTTTTGTCTTCCTTTTCTGTGTCCAGTATTTTATTATTATATTCGAGCGTGCTGTCTCCTCGGACAGCTCTTGATTAAAAAGTTTAGGTTGCAGGTGGGGGTATGAATCGCCTTTAGTGATAGCTTTAGTTTATATTGTTTTATTTTTATTAGGCTGTTCAGAGCTTCTCTAGAGCTGTGCACCTAAACCCAGGAAACTTGGCATTGTGGGAAGATGACTTAATGTGGGCTTGTTTGTTACTACAAAAACGTAAAACACTGGAAGTGGAAAAGAAGCAAATATTATCAATTAAAGATGGGGGTGGATTGAAAATTGTAGAAATCGGAAGTGATGTCGATAATGATGATGATGAAAAAGTAGTACAAGAGCATGACCAATTTAAGATGAAATCTGACGTAATTTCTTTAAAAAACTTGCCAACAAATTATGTTCAAATGAGAGATGATCTACATGTACCTCCTTGAATAAAAGTATGGAAATTGTCTGTGCTTATTAATATATGCCTAGCTTCCTCATCTTGTGGAATTACAAATTTCATTTATCTAAACTTCTTTTATTGTTAGTAATAACAAGCTATTATGATTACTCCTGGTTTGTTGTCCATACATTTATCTGCCCATACTTATTATGCCACCGCAATCTGCCATACGGTTGCATATAGTGATTCACTTGTGTGCGTGTGTTTGTCTGTTACATAGATTATATAGTGAACCTTAAAAAAAATCTCCGATTTCAACCAAACTTGCCAGGATTGTTCTTTTGGCGAAGGGCTTCTAAAGTCGATGGTAGGGTACTACGTCATCATGCAGCAGCATCTGCTGAATGCTCGGACCATTTATAGCTCAACTTTAAAAAAAATAAATAAATAGAGGTATTGTTACAGTCATGTCTGCGTTGCCGTTGCCTTTGCTGTCTGCAAACTTGTAAATTGATCATAACTTAAGTTCTTGGCGCATTGTCTTCATACTTGGCCACAACAACCCTTGGAACAAGACCTACCACACTAACCTTGACCTTCATACATAAAAGAACTTGACCTTCAATGTCAAAAGTCGAATTTTTGCTTGTTTCTTGCTATAAGTGGCTATAACTTTGTTATTTTTGAATGGATTGTTCTCAAACTTGAACATAATAATCTTTTAGGATATAGCCCTTAAGTTATTGGGGTTTTAAAAAATAAAACATCAAAGACAAGACCAGGTTTAAGGTCACAGTTCAGCATGTTGCATAAAATTTCCAAGTGATAAATAAACAAGAGGGCCATGATGGCCCTATATCGCTCACCTTAAGGAAGAGATCTTAAAAGTATTTTTATGCTCCCCGAAAAATTTCGGGGGAGCATATGGTCGTCGGGTTGTCCGTCAGTCCGTCCGCCCGTACGGACGTCCCGAATTCGTGTCCGGCCCATAACTTTGTTATTTGAAGTCGGATTTTAAAATTATTTCACAGAAATGATCACCATATTGAGACGACGTGTTGCGCGCAACATTTGGGTCGCTACCTTGAAGGTCAAGGTCACAGCATGACCTTGCAGCAAAATCGTGTCCAGTCCATAACTTCATTATTTGAAGTCGGATTTTAAAAATATTTCACAGAAATGATCACCATATTGAGACGTCGTGTCGCGCGCAACATTTGGGTCGCTACTTTGAAGGTCAAGGTCACAGCATGACCTTGCAGCAAAATCGTGTCCGGTCCATAACTTTGTTATTTGAAGTTGGATTTTAAAATTATTTCACAGAAATGATCACCATATTGAGACGACGTGTCGCGTGCAACATTTGGGTCGCTACCTTGAAGGTCAAGGTCACAGCATGACCTTGCAGCAAAATCGTGTCCGGTCCATAACTTTGTTATTTGAAGTCGGATTTTAAAAATATTCCACAGAAATGATCACCATATTGAGACGATGTGTCGCGCGCAACATGTGGGTCGCTTCCTTGAAGGTCAAGGTCACAGCATGACCTTGCAGCAAAATCGTGTCCGGCCCATAACTTCGCTATTTGAAGTTGGATTTAAAAAGTATTTCACAGAAATGATCATCATATTAAGATGACGTGTCATGCACAACATTTAAGTCGCTACCTTGAAGGTCAAGGTCACAGCATGACCTTGCAGCAAAATCGTGTCCGGCCAATAACTTCCTTATTTGAAGTCAGATTTTTAAACTATTTCACAGAAATGATCACCATATTAAAATGGCGTGTCGTGCGCAACATTTGGCTCGCTACCTTGAAGTCAAGGTCACAGCATGACCTTGCAGCAAAATTGTGTCCGGCACATAACTTCATTATTTGAAGTCGGATTTTACAACTATTTCACAGAAATGATCACCACAATGAGACATTGTGTCGCAACATTTGGGTCGCTACCTTGAAGGTCAAGGTCACGGTATGACCTTGCAGCAAAATCGTGTCCGGCCCATAACTTTGTTACTGGAAGTCGGATTTAACAACTATTTCACAGAGATGATCACCATATTGAATCGACGTGTCGCATGCAACATTTGGGTCACTACCTTGAAGGTCAAGGTCACAGCATGATCTTGCAGCAAAATAATGTCAGGCGCATAACTTCGTTATTTGAAGTCGGATTTTACAACTATTTCACAAAAATGATCACCATATTGAGACAATGTGTCGTGCACAATATTTGGGTTGTTTTTACACTTTGAACTTTGTCTGTGACATAACTCTGACACAACAAGAGGTATACCTTCCTGTGTCCAAAACCTATTCGGGGAGCATCACCCGGTTCAACCGGCTCTTGTTTCTTTTTAAAAACAAGCACCAGGTTTATAAATTTCTTTAATGTCATTTAAAGGTTATTGTCAAATGTAGAGTATTTTGGCCAACAGCAACAGGAATGCAAACAAGTGTATAGAAATACCTCTTTTTCTTTCTTTAAAGTACACATTGCTAAAAATACACTCCCTGTAGCATGTTTACATTATGAAATTTTTAACAATGAAGACGAAGTACAAATTTGGATAATACTTCAATAAAAAAGGGTCAAAGACAAAAATGGCCGGGTTGCATTTGTATACCAAATAAAATGAGGCTGTGATATTACAAAAATTTCCTACCATTGACCATTAATGTCGAACATTTAACTGAGTCGGTAAACAGGAAGTAGATAAGTCAGCAAACGGGAAGTGGATGAGCGACATACCTGACATCGAATCCCATGGTATGTGACTACATATTAATGCTGTATACCAAATATTGTGACGAAAATAGCCTGATACCTATACTTATTATCAGAGTTATTTCCCTTTGTTTTAGAAACCCATTTGTATGGTTGACTGATATCATGACGTAATTTGCATAATAAAACATTAACATTTACATCGTTCAAATTGTTATCGACTTTCTTTTTCACTGTACTGTACACAATTTTTATGCTCCCCGAAAAATTTCGGGGGAGCATATAGTCGGCGCCTTGTCCGTCTGTCAGTCTGTCCGCACTCACAGGACAGTAATTATGTGGCTAGAAGGACAATAGGTAACTGTTTTTTCTCTTTGATGTCATTCATTCCGTAATGCTTTTATGTGGCTATTTTCTTTTGCGTGGCTAAAAAGAACAATAGGGAGAACAATAGATAAGCCACATAATTACTCTCCTGTTAGAACGTCCGTCTGTCCGTCCGTTTTCTTGTCCGGAGCATAACTTGAAAACCCTTGGAGATAATTTGTTAAAACTTTATACAGTGGTAGAGGGCATTGAGGGGGAGTGCAGTGTCAAAGAACCATAACTCTATTTTGGCCGGTTTTTTAATTATCTCCCCTTATGGAAAAATCTTGTCCGGGGCATAACTCTAAAACTATAAGAGATATCAACATGAAACTTTGTAGGTGAATAGATCTCAATGGGTAGATGTGCAGTGCATAAGAACAATAACTCTTTTTGTCCTAATTTTGGAGTTATTGCCCTTTGTTAATTTCAACACTTTGAACTTTGTCCGGAACATAACTCTAAAACTATAAGAGATATCAAGATGAAACATTGTAGGTAGATAGATCTCATTGAGTAGAAGTGCAGTGCAAAAGAACCATAACTCTGTGAAGCCTCATTTTTGAATTATCTCCCCTTATAGAACAATCTTGTCTTGGGCATAAGTCTAAAACTATAAGAGATATCAACATGAAACTTTGTAGGTAAATAGATCTTAATGGGTAAATGTGCAGTGCATAAGAACAATAACTCTTTTTGTCCTAATTTTGGAGTTATTGCCCTTTGTTAATTTTAACACTGAACTTTGTCCGGAACATAACTCTCAAATTATAAGAGATATCAAGATGAAACATTGTGGGTAGATAGATCTCATTGAATAGGAGTGCAGTGCAAAAAAACATAACTCTGTTAAGCCTCATTTTTGAATTATCTCCCCTTTTAGAAAAATCTTGTACTGGACATAGTTGTAAAACTATAAGAGATATTAACATGAAACTTTGTAGGTAGATGTATCTCAATGGGTAGAAGTGCAGTGCACGAGAATTATAACTCTGCCTTGCCTAATTCTGGAGTTATTGCCCTTTGTTTAATTTTACTTTTTGAAGTTGTCCGGAACCTAACTCGGAAACCGTAAGAGATGTAAACAAGAAACTTTGTAAGTTGATAGAAACAGTGATTAGAAGTGCAGTGCAAAGAACAGTAACTCTGCCTTTCCTAATTTTGGAATTATTGCACTTTGAACTTTTTCCAGGGACATAACTCTGAAACTACAAGAGGTGTACTTTCCTGTGTCCAAAACCTATTCGGGGAGCATCACCCGGCTCAAACCGGGCTCTTTTTACTTTGTATATGTGATTTTATGTAGTATTTAATGAAGTATTGAACCTGCGCTCATTCAATATCCTTTCAGTTTAAACATATTTAATCACTTTTTCCAGGTAACATTAAGAACTTAACTTAAAAATACATGTTTTAAAAGATTTTAACTTTTTGTTCTTAAAACTTACAAAAAATAAATATGGTAAATATTTGTCCGTTTCAGATGACTGCATATCAAGACACGGGTAGTTTTTGGGGGGCTATGCCGACCCAATGTTAAAGGGATATTCAGGCAAAATAATGACAAAAATATTAAAATGATCTTATGTACTCAAATCACGCTAAAATGACTTTTCTTGAAATTTCAGCATGAATTTCTGTTTAAATTCTATTCATTTAGGGTTTGAAGCGTAAATATGTCTTTATAAGTTGAACAAAACATAGACGCCAATAGAATCACCAAATAGTTTTGAAACAAGTCAGGTGACTTGAACAAACCCTTGAAGTTACAGTAACAGATATTGTGGATATTATATGATTGAAACAAGCCTAAGTCATTCATTTGACATGTTCTTTAACGTTTCCAGAGTTCACTTTGACAACTATTGTGAAATGTTAGCGCTCTAACCTGACCCACGCGGGTCAAGTTAGGAAACCACCATTTATTCTTTATATGGAGAAAAATTTTGTTCCTTTGACTGTCTAATATAA